CCTGTTGTAAATATAGGACAATCAATTGACCTTTTCTCTTTATTAGCATAATGTTACTCCTCTCAGCCTTCTCATCTGTAAATTTAAGAATAATGAAAAAGATTCTGTTTGGATTTTCTTTCTCATTTCTCTTTTCTCATAGGTATGATCTCCCTCCCCTTTCTTAGTCTACTGTCTTCAATGAAATGCATGCATATCATATTTCATCTACCACAGCAAAGTCTGGACACATTGGCTGTTTGGACATTGGCAGTTTTTATTCTTTTAGAGAAAAATTATGATGCTGCCAGCTGGTGGTTATTCTATCTGGAGGTCTTAATCGAAATTCTAGGAGGTCAAGGGATATCTGGGCAGCTTGTATAACTCTTTATAAAAACTAATTGCCTGTTCTGTGGTGAAAATTCAGTAAGTTCTAACTCCTAGACAGATAAAGTTAGGTGTGATCTCCCTCTCTCTTCCAATTCTAGAACTTTCTTTCATGTGCTTTTCTGGGACTGGAATTGCATTCCACTGAGACAGGGCCAGAGATGGGAACCAGGATTACAAATGAGCTGTTCACTGACCCCAGTTCTACCACGAAATGAATTCCCACATTTTGACCTCATGGCACTCTGCTGTGTTGCTACTACTGTTCTTGTTTTATTCTTATAATTGCTGCTGCTGCTATTTTTGTATATTAAGCATTTTGTGGGTTTACAACCACGTTTCAAGTATAGAGAGTTACCTAGTAAGTATGGGGCCCTGTGTTCAAATCCTAATACCACCCCCAACATAAGGTGGCTTTTAAAATTAGCTTTGATGTGAGAGACCCAATAAATTCCATCATTTAAAAATGCTCAGTGTAGATATATTGATTGTCTTCAGTATTCAGATACATTGGGCCTTTGTTTTCATCCAGAAAATAAAATTTCTGACCTGCCCTCGCTTTAAAAGTAATGATTCCCACTTGTATATAGATCTGGCATGATGCCTGATGCTGCAGTGAATGAGCATTTCACATGGAAAGGAACTGTGTGTTGCTACAGGTTAGATGGAATCTGTGTTTTCCTTGCTGGGCAATGCGTTCTTACAATCAGGCATCATCCTAGTAAGAAACAAGGCAAGCTTTCTGCCCTGGTTTTTCCATATCCACTCCTTGGTGATTGTTAGCATCAACTGAAGTCATCTAAAAAGAGAAAATCTGGAGAGCAACTCTTGTAGGCCGGGTACTGTGCTTGATACATACTTGCCTAACACTCCTAGGAGTGTTTCTTTTCCATACAAATGCAGCTTTGGGGGGTAGGAGCAGTTATGTAACATATCTATTCCCACAAAGCCAGTAGTGGCAGAGCTGGCAATGGGATAGGATAGTTCACTCAGACACCTTTTTATACCCCACCTTGGAGTCCCGTTCCTTTATGAACTCAGGTGGTCTGAGAACCTAAAAGGCACATTAGTCTCAGGGACTAGTCATGGAATAAAATCCCATACATTTCTTCTTCTTAGATTTAAAGACATTTGGAAAGAGAGGAAAGAGACTTTGGACTGTAGTACATATTTGCCAAACCACTGGGCTCCTCTGACCTTTTCAGTGGGACCCTTGCTTTTGTGAAGTAAGCACAAGGTTCCCTGATAAGCTTAGAACATAGTAATGATGGGTACTGAGCATCTAAGGGCCAGACCTCAGGAGTTCTGTGCATCTTTATAACCTTCTATGCTCTGTCTTTTGGGGTCCCAAGCACTCCTCACTTCAGATTACTTCTTTATTATCTTAATATGGCAACCGTGGCTGATTTGAGATATGATCCTGTGTGATCTTGACTCAACTGGCACAACAAACCTGTAGAGAGACATTCAGGGCCTTTACTTTTTTAAAAACAAATATTTTTATTATTATCTTTAAGTACTTGTACAAAGGAGTTTCCATTTAACAAAGAAGCTCAATACTCTTAATCAAGGTCACCCCTTGCAACATTTGCTTGAAGCCTGTGCTGTCTGCTTGTCCTTATCCTATCATTGTAATATTTCAGAATTGTTTTGCTGCTGGGTGCAGACAGATGTAAAAGGAAATATGTAGGGCTTTCTTTTTCCACTGGACCAAAAAAGCTGTTTAGAATTTTCATGTGCCATAAATAAACAATAGATCCTAATCTACTTTCCTTACTTTTTCCTATGTTGCAGGCAAAATGTCATTTGATTTAAATCAACCTTAGACATACTTCTATTAATGAAACCAAAGATGGAGATCTTTAGTAGTCCTGATTAGATCATGACGACAGTTTTACGCTTTTGCCATTAATGCAAGGAGGTAGTTTGACTGTGTGGAGCCAGCAGCAAGTGCTCTGAGATTCTTTCCCCCCATGTGCTCAAAGGCATTTCTCTCTGGCATGTGGATGACCCTTCTCTTTCAGGGTAAAAAAAGTGTTCTGTGCCTTATAACTTATCACTAAACGTTGGTTACATGCCAGCCTCACAGCTGTTTTATATGTGCCCTCCCATCTACCCCAACAAACAATTTGGCAGATAGATAGATAGATAGATAGATAGATAGATAGATAGATAGATAGATAGATAGATAGATAGATAGATAACCATCTGCACTTGTCAGATAAGGAGGCTGAGGCTCGGGCAGATCCATTTCCCAGGCTACACAGGGTCAGGAGAAATCTGTCTGCCATTTACCAATATAACTCCTTGCCTGGAAGTGAGCTAGCAGAAAATTTTTAAGAAGAGATGAGGCTCGGGGAAATGGCTTTGACTGATTCTAATCAATACCTCAAGCTTTGCATTTATTCATTCCTTTGCTGCTATTAATGGATGTATGCCAAGAATGCCAGGGGTATCACAGTGAGATAAGAAGCACAAGTCCCTGCCCTCTAAGCTTGCTTTGGAATTATGGGGCTGTGAGTAGAGAAATGGCATGATCTGCCTTCAGTTTTGCAAAGGTCCTTCTAGCCGCAGCCTGGAGCATCATCTGTGAAGGGGCAAGGACTATGTGAGAAGACCTGTTAGGAGGTGACTACATTAATCTAGGCAATGTGGGTGGGAAGCTTGACCAGAGTGTAGCAAATGTGAGAAGTTAGGGTCTGGATGGACCTGAGCAGCAATGCCAGTGGGAGTCACTCAGGAATTGAATGTGGCAATTTATTGTACAGGCTTCCTCTGGAATTTAGGTTGACTATGACATGGGTTCAGTGGAAATTGAAACTCCTTTCTTTCAGCTTCTTAACACTTGGCTTATGAACAGAGAAAACCTGTCAATGCCCGAGAGGGTCACATGGCATTAGTTGTCCCAGGGGCATTTGTCGTCCAGGCTGCTGCTGACCAGCTGGTGCCCTCCTTCAAAGGCGGTCCCCCTGGAGAATGGCACCTACGTGGTTATACCTGAGATTTCTAGTATGTCTACTTCAGAGCCACTGAAAGCACACTTTAATCTTTTCCAATGACTCTCCTATGAGGAGATAGAAGAGAGATCCTGTTAACAAGATGTAAGCCCAGTTTCTTATTTTTCTGCCTAGATTATTTCTCAGAAATGATATTATCAGGTCTGAAATAGGACAGATTTTAATTCTTGGGGACAACACAGTACGGTAAACATACTGTTTTGCCATGTTCTCAAGTCCAGAATTTACCTTCCTTGTCATTAACTTAACTTGTCATTAACCTCCTTGTAGCTAACCATAGCCACTCAGAATGTTTCCAGATGTGCCTAGTGACCTCTGGATAGAGATGCTCCTCAACCTACAGTGGGATTGCATCCTGATAAACCCATTGTAAGCATTCTAAGTCTCAAATACATTTGCTCACCTACCAAACATCAGTTGTTTCTCATGATCATGTGACTGGTGGGCAGCTGCAGCCAACTGCTGCTGCTCAGAATTGTGGGAAACCATTGCACCAGCCCAGGAAAAGATCAAATTCAAAGTTTGTTTTCTGCATATTATGTATCTCTTTCACACCATTGTGGTGTAAAAAAGTAGTTAAAATGAGGTAGGCACTGGTGGTGCAGGCTTGTAATCCTGATGCTCAGGAGACTGAGATTGGAGGACTACAGTTTAAGGGAAGTTTGAACAAAAAGTTCACAAAAGCCCTTCTCAACCAATGTTCTGGTCATGATGATGAGGGCCTGTTATCCCAGCCATAGAAGGAAGTATAAAATAGGAGGATGGTGGTCCAAGCATTCCAAAGCAAAACACAAGACCCTATGTCCATAAAATAACCAAAGTAAAGGGGCTGGAGGTTTGGCTCATGCAGTAGAGTACCTTCTTAGCAAGCATGATTTCCCTCAGTTCAAAAGCCAGCTGTGCGGGAGGAGTTTGGACATTGCGGGAGAGGGGGAAGATCCATTAAGTTGAAACAGGGACTATCTACAGAAATGTTATTATAAGTCAATGAAATTTCCACCAGACCATTAGTAAAGCAATAATGTGAATAAATGTCATTCAGTTGGTTCATTCACCTTAAGTAAATGACTTTATATTTCCAGTTAGAAGAAGGTATTGGTAATGGATAAACATAAAGGTTGCATCTGCTTCTCAGAGATTACAAAGAATAGCATGAGAAGCTCCCTATACTTGTTGATGTAAACAAAGTAATTTCCTACGTGTTGTACCTTGAGGCAAACCAAAAATGATTTCTTCCAAGGTATCTGGAAGGCCCCAAGGTCTCCTTAAGCTTCTCCTAAATTGTACCTTCTGGATATAATGTGATATCTCACTGAACTTGGCCATCCACTGGGCCCTGCTAGGCAGAATATCCAGCTAAGGATGTGCTAAGAGGCTCCTAACTCCTGGCCTTTGAATAACATTTGACACTGCTGCTTGTGTGATTACCCAGCCACAGCAATTAGCCCCCATGTTACCCCTCTACAGTGTCACTCACACCCTGAGGGATGCAGCCATACCAGCAGAAGAGGCGTTCCCCTGACTCCCTTCTGCCTCCATACTGTAGACCACAGGCCCCAGCCATGGAAAAACAGTCAAAATCAACTGAAGCATCTTTTTCTTCTATTTTTCTCCTAGGGCTGCGTCCAAAAAGGACTCTGCGTCTGGTACTCTGGACAGCAGAAGAACAAGGTGGAATCGGAGCCTTACAGTACTATCGGCTACACAAGGTAAAAATGAGCTGTGGACTGCTGACCATTTACACGTTGAATGTCAACATGAACCACAAGCATTGTTTGCCCTCTTTGATTTAAACGTTCTCAGTAATCATCCATGTAATACTCATGAGACTTTGGGGTCCAGTCAGCCCTGTGAATGAGAATCATACTGTGAATGCCTTGCTGAAGATGCTATAATGTGGCGATCAGGCTTTTCTATTTGTTTCTCTTTTTTTTATGGTGGGGGGTATCAGTATCATTTGGTCTTTACTCAGCTGTCTGTGTTGGGTCTTTTAAAAAAAAACATTTTTAACACTGTCTTTTAAGGCTTTTGTATTTCTATACTACACTGTGTGGCCTTAGGAACTCCCAACATGCCACCATTTTCTTAGTTTCTCTAGGTCAGTTGTGCACATGCATGTCAGAGACATAGTAAAAGGTAGTAATAATGAGGAAATATCCCCTGACTTCACTGAACTCAGCCCCATACCTCAGCACCCAAATCCCTCCTTGAAGCCTTGGTAGTAAGGACCAAGTCTTAGGCTGAGAGTCAGCCAACAACATCGCCATAGTCATATAGGCAATGTGGCAGCCATGAGACTCACTTTGTTTGACCTTGACTGCAATTTGGCAGATGTGGAGCTCAAAACAAGTAGGTCATTGTGGACCATCATTAGGAATACAAAATGTGGGACACAGGGAGATTCGTATTGAGGACAAACTTGGAGAGCAAAGCATACAGTCTCAGCAGTGCTCTGTCCAGTCAGGTATTTATTCACAAAGGCGCTCCCAAAGCACTAGTGTGGGAGCCAGGGAGGAGGCCCAGCTGTGGCTGCTTGGTGTCTGCTCCCCACCTCTCCAGATTGAAAGAGGCATGCCCCAGTTCTCCAAATCAAGTAGGAGTTAATTGTTATGTTTACATTTGCATCTATTTTTATTATTTTATACCCAGCCACTTCTATTGCTGTGTTTCAGTTAGTTGGAGTATGGGTTCTGGGTCATGAGTTTGATCACTAAGAATAATTTACTTATCTAAGGACTTGTGATATTACCATGGTCTTACACTCATTCTTATGGCCTCTAGTGATCCTGGGGCTAAGAAAAATCAAACAAATGGCCTATGGCTGGTAGGTCAATTGACATTGTTCCTAAAACTTGCAGTAGACAGTATTGTTACAGGTTCCCCAACATTTAATGAATATTTCTTGAGCAACTACTATGCTTCATACACTCTGTGAAGGATTGAGTTCCATCCCATTAAAGGAATTCACCCCAAGCCTTACATAGATGACAGAGTAAAGGACACCAACTACTTAATTGCAAGTATGATGCAGGGGGTTAAGTCTTCTGATCGAAAACAAGATGTTAACAGCAGACCTGGGAAGGTCAGCTACACCTAGCTTTGAAGGGCAGTCTGAATAAGCTGTGTGGGAGAAATAACATCGAGAGCCAGAGCTGAATACTGAGTAGTAAGCAATAGAAAAGGAGTGTGAAGGAGGAGCTGATAGATCTTGGCAGGCAGAATCGTGTATGAAGGCCTAGAATAGAGAGAGAGCTCTGCACCCTGAAGAAGTAGAAGGAGTTCACTGGAGCTGGTGCACAGAATGCAAGACATACAGTGGTCAAAGCAGCGTAGAGACGTAAACAGAAGCCTGAACAAGAACACATAAATCCTGCTTAAAAGCTTGTACTTTATCCTCAGATCAAAAACTGTAACCAACTTATTTTTAACCAAGAGCTTTAAAATTCCATACATGTTTGATTTTTTTTGAAACAAACAAACAAACAAAACCCAGAATACCTAGAAGACCTATTCTAAAGCCCTTTTATTCCCTAGCGTATACTCTACCCCCAAGGGAAATAAATTGGATTTAAAGCCCAGTGGATCTAGCTAGAAATTTCCTTACCATTGAAATTCCTAGATTCTGGAAAAGAAAAAACTTATTTCTCGATAAGGTTTTTTTTTTTTTTTTTTTTTGTCGGTCGTGGGGCTTGAACTCTGAGCTTGGGCGCTGTCCCTCAGCTCTTCAGCTAAAGGCGAGCGCTCTACCACTTGAGCTATAGTGCCACTTCCTCGATACGGTTTTGAGTTTTCTTGTAGCCTACTACAATGAATGAATGAAGTCAGAAATGACTCAATTTTAAACTTGTTAAGAAGTTGACAAGGACACAAACACACACATGCACACACTCAGAGGACATGCAGCCACATGAACAGAACTTGTTTTTACTTGACAATATCTGTTTGCCTTCACACAAATGGTTCTTCATACTGATGGCTAGTCTGCACTGCCTTTTCAGGGACAGAAAGAAGAAATTCCAGAAGGAAAAACATAATTGGGATTTTAGGGTCATTATTAGCTCATCTTTTAAAAGACATTATGAGCTAGACCCAGGTGGCTCATGACTATAATTCCAGCTACTCAGAGGGCTGAGAACAGAAAGATTGTGGATAAAAGCCAGCTTAGGCCCAAAAGTTTGCAGAAGACTATCTCAAAAATAACCAGCAAAAAACAGAGCTGATAGTGTGACTCAAGGATCTGGGTAACTTCTACTTTTTACTGGATTCTGTGAACGATAAGAAAGAATATAGTCAGAGCAACAAAAAAGAAGAAATAATAGTTTCCTATCCTATTTTTCTCTGTAGCTAGCACCATGTAAGCTTAGCCAACTTTACCGTTAGATTCTACCAAATAGAAATGCAGCAAAAAGTATCATGCATGTACCCTTATATCATCATAATGTTGTCAAAAATAAACATGGGTAGACATCTGGCTCCAAATAAGTTTCCAGTTGTTTCTGTGTACTTTAAGTAGTTGTACAAAGGAGTTGCCATCCAACAAAGCAGTTATGAATACAGTGCATCTTGATCACTGTCATTTCTCCCCACATTCTCACCCATCCCTTCCCTCACTCTTCTTAATTTTGCAGCATATACATTGGATTTTATGGCTGCATTCCTCCCTGCTTCCTCTCTTCATCTGTCTACGCTCCTCCCCTTGAAAAGTCTCTTTTAGACCACAGCAAGATTACTGTATGAAAATATTATAAAATACTTCCAGATTTTTATCATATAGACAGGGGTTAGGAAGCTTTTGCTCTTCACTCACAGAAAGTTAATATTTTAACCCTAAGCCTGATAGTTAATATTGTAAACTTTGTGGCCCACATTCAGTTGGCTACCTAACCTACCAGAAACAGAAGATATGTTGTTTGCTTAGGGTCTGTAATATATAATCAGATGGCAGGCTAGATTTGGCATACAGGACATAACTTCCTCATTACTGGAATAGATCACTAATAACTCCAACTTTATCATGAAAGTGCTAGATGGGGAGAACCCTTCAAAAAGTCGAAACTTTTGTTGAAAAGGGTGACATTGATCAAGATATATTATATTCATAGTCTTTGTACAAGTAAAGATAATTTTTAAGTTGAAACTTGATTGATTGATTGATTCAGAGCCTTGCACTTGCTGGGTAGATTACTTGATCCATACCTCCAGCCCTTTCTGCTCTGGTTACTTTTTTTTGAGATAGCATCACAAGGTCTTTGCCAAGGTCTAGACAACAATCCACCTATTTACACTTCCCACCATGGCTGGAAGGACAGGTGTGAGCCATTAGTGCCAAGAAATTATTAGAGATCAGGTCTAACTTTTTGGGATAGCCTTGAACTGTGATCCTCTTGATCTCTGCTTCTGTAGTTGCTCCAATTACAGGCATGAGCCACCTGCAGTGGACCTCAGATCTTTATTTTTATAATCATTAAAGCAGATCTTTCCTAAATGAACAGAACTTTCAAGAAATTCCTGAAGCCCACTCAGTACACCCCTAACAGTTCACTCAGTAGAAAGTCTCATGAAGAATTTACACATTTTTTTCTCATTATAAATTGCTAGTTCAGAGCCTGGAGATTTAGCTCAAGTGGTAGAGCATATTTGCATAGCATGCCCAGGGCCCTGGGTTATTAATCCTACAGCAAAGGAAACCATTGTGTTGTTTTCTCATCTGGTTGGTTATGCCTATGCTTGAACTTTATGTAACTGGAATAATGTGGTATGTAATTGTGAGCTGACTTCTTTCATTATGCAGTATGGTTTGGGGAGCTTATCCATATTTTGCATTTACAGCAGTTAATCCTGGTCTATTTCTCAGCAGAATGAAGCTGTGAAAAGACCACAATTTCTTAATTCACTTGGACAAACTGAGCACAGATACTCTGTTGGCCAACATTTACATTGTTTCCAATTTAGCGGTTGTAAATTGAACTGCTATGGATATTCTTTATAGATAACTTCTTTAGATACTTTGCTGGACATATGCATTGATTTTCTTTCCTGGGAGTAGAATTGCCACATCACATGAAAAATTAAACATGTGATGTTTAATGTTGCTAGTAACTACCGAAGAGATGGGAGTTTCTACCGTTTCGCACCCCTCCCAGCAATGGATGGTCACCGCAGCTGCTCCGCAGCTCCCTGCCAGTGCCTGGTACTGATGGCCTTCTTATTGGGGCCTGTCTGATGAAATTTTTTGTGCCTTCAAGATACAGTTGTGAAGAGGTCAAAGTTCTGCCTCTGCTGCTAATACTATTTCTTTGTCTCCCCTGTTTCTTCCTTGATGCCATCTTGATGCTGTGTTTTATGATTTACAGGAGACCAAAGGCCTGTTTTGCCTAAGGCCTTTTTACATAAGTTCTGGGAAGCTGTTACTAGTTCCAGTGGCCCCATTTCACTTGGGAGGAATTCCTTGACAAGAGCAGTACATAAAGATGCTGATAGTGGCTGGCTGAGGTCTTAGCTGACTCCCTGAGGACGCTGAGAGATGCAGGCACTGGAGCGCAACTGGAACCCAGAGGGGAGGGGCCACCCAGCAGAGCCTTGGGAGGGATAGAAAAGAGGCGATTCTAGCAGGGGTGGGGGGTGGGGGGTGGGGAGGGAGTCTGAAGTCTGAACAAAGTGTTTTTCTATTCTTTATTGATGAGGTGATTATTTTAGTAATGAACTCTTA